AGCATAACCTATATCTAAAAGCTAAACAGTTTAACAATACAGTAACTCCTCAATAGACTAGAATCTATAATATCAAATTAGATATTCTCAAAAAATCCTGCATGAGACAGGTATTCAATATCATTGTAAAAGGAGTACAAGTTTATCTAAATAAAATGTTAAAATATCTAAAACATTTAAAAAGTTGACACTTGTCTTTGACATAATCATTTACACTGTCCAGAAAGTTTCACCTCTAGCACATTAAAGCATATGGCATGCACAATCAGAAAAGGCATTGGGAGATTAAGAATGGAAACTATGACCTCCAAAACCATGTAAAAAAGAAAGACATTTACCTGAGAAATTTTAAGACTTTTTATATTTTTTCTGTTCCTGTGGAACTTTGAATGATGCAGTTTTACTAATACTGGAAGACAAGATACAAAAGACATAACATTGGCAACTGATTATATAACAAATGAAGAAACCTTAAAAATCAAAAACAGACAAAAGAGTACATCATCACCTTATGATACAATTATAGGGACAATAACAACCTCCTTTTGCATTGATGACTGAGAAGGCTAAAAAAATCAAAATCTGTTAAATGAACAAGTATTAAACCACCAAAGTTCCTTCAAGAATACATTTAGAGCCTCAGTATATATTTAAGCAATACCTTTAAAATAACAAAATAACAAAAATAGTAGTATAACCTTGCCTTAAAGTATGTCTACACTTCTTTCATTTTCATACTGTTTGCTCCTGTCTGATTGTGCTTATGCTTTTACCAACTCTTTACAGAGAGAGGAAGAATATGATTCCAAAATCAAGCCACTGTTTACATTACATTCCTGATAATATAACAAGAAGCAAAGGCCTTCAATCCCCCCAGTAAAACACTTTATAATCACAGAATATGAATCAAGGCACAAGGACCCATGTTAATTTATATTTCTTTTATGCTTTTTCTTCAATGACATCAAATCCCTTACAAATCATAAATGCTATCTTTTACATATCCCTGGTATAATACTTGAATTTCTTTGTTGGCATACATAATATATATGCACTTTCAAATACAATGAACAATGCATTAAAATGAAGATCAGTAAACTGTTTTGTCTTCCAAAAACTGTTCTATATATTTTGCAACAGATATCTCAAGAATATATTCACTCATTAAATAATTCTTTACCACTTCAAATATTCTACCCTATTCAAATCATTATGAATGGGGGTCATATTAATAAACAAACACACATACCACACCTCATCTCATCCCAACCCATCCCATCCTCCCTTCTTCCCTCCCATCTCATCTGTTTCCCTCCCCCCTCCTCTACCTTCACTCCCCCTTCCCATCCCTCCCCTCTCTTCATTATCTTTTTCACTCACTCTCTTTGAAGTGTGGGTATTGGCATGGGTTTCAGTGTATATAAATGTGAGTGTAAGGTGATCGTTGGTTAAATTCTGAGTGAATGCGAATGTGGGCACATATTAGAGTGTAAGTGTATGTATGAGCTTGAATAGGCATTTATAAATTTAATTAGAACATTCATCATCCCATGTTTTTAAACATTCTATGTATTCTACAAATGACCATCAATTGACTAAAAAAAATACCATTATCTATAATATGTTCCCATAGCCATCATTGGCTGTTAAAAAAAAAACACAAAAATACTTTTATAAAGTAAAATCTAATTAAGGGATTTTATCTTATGGATCACTATTAATTATATATAAAAAGATAATGAATAGATATGAACGATCCTAGTCCTTCACTGTAAAATAATTTGTAATTCATCCACAGTCAGAGCTTTTACAAAAGTACATTCACATGTACAAGAAAAGACAAGAAAGGAAAGAGAGAAATGAACATCCAATGTAAGAAAGAGATAAAAGGTTGAAAATATATATAAGATGGTATCTTATCAGTCACTAATGACAATTTTCTACTTTTGTATACAATTTCTGTACTAATGAAGTATTTGTGACAGAAATGGCTTGCAGAGGTATGTCCACATTTTTACTTAAATTAAACATTTACTTAAAATAAGGATTTCTGAACTCACTACTAAACATAATCTCCTTTGGACATTCGAATTGACAATATCAATATAAAAATGGTAATTCTGTCAATTTCTTGCATATGTTTTTTTCTCTCTCTCTGCATGTACAATTTTACCTAAGTATATGGACAGCATGCCCTTAGCTTCCTTAAAAAAGAAAAAGAAAAAAAAATCTTATTTACTATAAACAGTATTGCACCTACAGTTATAATTTGGGAGACATTCATCAAACTCAAGAAGCTAATATACTTAAACTATATGGAATATATATGTACACACACATACACACACACACACACATATACATACACACACACACACACATATACATACACACACACACACACACATATATACATATATATATATATATATATATATATATATATATATATATATATATATATTATATATATATATGTATGCATTCATATTTGAAAACT